ATAATGGGATCAAGAGAAGTTGCTTTAAGGATAGGAAATAACTGGGAATGGATAAGGATTGGGAAAGTTGCCAGTAGATTAGGATAAATTGAAGACGGGGTCAGGGGGTGGGGATGTGATCAAAAGAAAAAGTTCCTGGAGGAGATGAAAAGGGTTAGATCAAGAGCTTAAGAAAAGGGATTGGCCTTGGCCCAAGAAGGACTACCTCTTTGTCAAAGACTAGAGAAAAAAAATGATGATAGAGGCTGTTGCAGAAGGATTTCTGAGGAATGGGATGGGAGTGGGGGGAAGAAAAGTGAATAGGGAGCTCACAGCTAGTGAAATAGAACACTGGCTCTGAAGAACTTGACAAGACCCTCAAAATCACATTTACTTCAATGAGAAAGTATGCACAGGGGAGGATAACAAAAGCTATGCTGTAAAATATGATTCAGAATCAAGATAGGAAAAGGCCAAAGCCTTGAAGACTGTTCAGAACCTTCCACCCAACACATTATGAATATTTTCTTCTGTAAAGCCAGAAGATGCTGTATGGAGAACACCTAGGGATATAATTTTTAAAATGAAATTCACTCTTTTACCTGACAAGAAACAATTCCTTCCAGATGTAGTAGTCATTTAAGAATCAGCAGTTTGTGTGCAGTCAGATCATTGGCAATTTCAAGTAAAGGTCAAGATAAATAACATATTTTTTTTAATAGAGATGTGTGTGACTACAGCAATTTGAACCTGGCCCGTTTAAACAAGCTATGGTTACCTTAAAAATTAGAAATGGAAAAAAGTAAAGACCTTGGATCTATCACCTTTTCTTAAAGGTGTTGAACCAACACTAATTTAATCCTCAGACCAAACAAAACATTAAGAAAATAGGCAATAAATAAGTCAAAGATGGATGTAGGTTTCAGTTGGAATTAAACAAGTATGTTTGCACCTCATATATTTGTGCAAAATTGTTTCTGGCATAGAAAAATACAAAGAGGTGAGTTTTCTTTTAAATGTGTTGATATTAAAATGGATTTAGTCATGCCTCTACTTTTGTTGACATCATAAAAAGATCACATGAGTAGAGACTGCTACCCTAGACTTTGAATTTCACTATTGTAAGTGATTCATATGTGTCTATTTTTTTTTGTTACAGCAGATTTATTTAGAGCTGTGACCCTCTTGAAAAGACTATTCCCACACTTTTTTTCCCCCATTATCCTTTAGGCAGTAAAATTAAACTGTCCTAAACCCCAACAAGGACCTAAGGTCTTTGATAGAATGGTAAGCTAAAATAAGATTATTCTCAACACTCATTTCTAGGTCATCGGGTACTTTTTTGACCCCCCAGGGTTCTGAGCACTGGAAAGAACCTTTAGAGGTCATCTCACAGTTCATCTTCCAGTAGGACTGCAGCTAAGTCAAGAAAGACAAGTGTAGTGACAAGGAATAAGATAGGCTTTCTGACATGATTTTCTCCACCAGCAAGCCATAAATTATTTCCCTAGGATCCCCTTCAGGTTACAAGCTGCTACCATTTTGCCCCATATTCTAGGAGATTCCTTAACCTGATATTCCATGAAGAAGGAAGGCCATAAGGAATGTCTGCACACACATACCTACCCTGCTCCTTAATAAAAACACACCAATCATATCACTCAAAGAGGATTTAATATAAAGATCTACAGAAATATATCCAAAGCAGCTGATGGAAGGAAAGAGTAATATGTGAAAAGGCTAATATTTGAGTTTACAAAGACTCTCATAGTTGAATCCTAGACCTTATTGTGAGAGATGGGATATTTAATTACTTTCCTTAGTTTCCTTTTGGCTATCTTCTTGGGAACAATGAATAGAAGTTGCAAAAAGACAAAGGATTGATGTAGAGAAAAACTTCCTAACAAAATAATCCAAACATGTAATGAGCTGCCTTAGGAGGTACTAAATTCCCTTTTTTGCTTGAGGCCTTCAAGCAAAGGCTAGATGAACTCTTGCCAGGTGTGCTATAGAAGAAATTCACATTCAGGTAGAAAGGTACTAGATGATCCCTAAAGGCCTGTCCAGCTGCGAGATTATATGTGACTACATAGTCTGAGTCTTATTAAATAACTAAACTAGTACCATTGAACTGACTGCCTAGGGCAGCCACTGGGAATCTGTTCCTTTAACTCTTATGGAACTTGGAAGTCTTAGACCTATGCAAGGACTTTTACATACGACCTAGCTCAGCCATTTTAGGATATAATACTCTCAATCTTATTAACACTGGAAGCAGGTAAACCCAATGGAGTTATGGAGAAGAGATGAATTGAGTCAATAGTGTATATGCCACTTTAACTACGGTATGAAGAAGCAACATTTAGTTGAGCCCAAGAAGGTTGAAAGAGCAATGACCACAACCTCTTGCCTTTAGGCACGATTGACTTAACAACTGAGAGGGGAGCTAACCCAAAATAAGCTTTTGTGGCTTACGAAAGCATGTATCTGCACTGCATAGGCATCTCAGGGACAGTTCTGTATGCTCCATCCATGCATGAAGATAGCCAGGGGGAGAGCTATAGTATGTCTGTTTCATTTTGCTGAGTTTCTTGTGTGCCGGGACTGTACCCTCCCTCACCTAGAGGGTCAATTACCAGGAGGACAGTCATTGATGATACAGTAATTTAGATATGGCCCCAGTTGATTGTACAATATGGCAACTGTTCTAAGACTTCTTAGGCAGCTAGGTGGTGCAGTGGAAAGACCAATGGGCCTGAAGTCAGGAAGACTTGAATGGAAATCTAGCCTTAGACACATACTAGCTGTGTGACCCTCAGCAGGTCACTTAATGCCTGTTTGCCTATGCATCCTCAACTATAAAATCAGGAAAATAACAGCACCTACCCCATAGGATTGCACTAAGGATCAAGTGAGATATTTGTAAGGTGCCTAGCACATTACCCAGCTCATAGTAGGCTCTATAGAAATACTTACTCTCTCCTTTTCACTTCCTCTTTTCCCCACCATTTGTACCATAAAGATGTTTTTGAAGGCCTAATATGGAACAGACCTATTGCCCAAGACTCAGGAAAACATCATACTGCTCCAAATTTCCAAAGAGAAAGATATCTTTCCTATTTTGGTATCCAAGTCATATTTCCTTGGTTTTTGAGCATAGGAATATCCATTATTCTTTCTACCTCTACAAGTATGTACTAAGTACTTACTTTATGCCAGGCACTATACTAAGAACAGGGCATATAAAGACAAGTAAAATAATTTCTGCTCTCAAGAAGCTTACATACTAAAGGTTTCCATGTTCTGGGCCTTGGGAACCTTCTTATCTCACCTCATAGGATCAAAATCTAGAAACTAAAGAGATGTTACATGCTATGGAGCTTGCGCCCATCATTTACAGATAAGGAAATTGAGTCACTGAGAAGCTAAGTGACTTGCCAAGTATCAGAAAACTAGTAAGTGTCTGAGGCAGGAGTTGAACCCAGGTCATCCTGACTCCAAATCTTGCACTCTGTTCACTACTCCAACATTACATCTCTCTGTTCTAGCTAATCTCCTGAAGTCAATACTACACGCTGAATGTTTTGACTGGTTCAGCCCTTGAGAGAACACAAAGTCAGTTCGGTGCCTGCAATATGTGGATTTCCTAGTCCTGATGCAGGGGTTAACTTTTTTTTGAGCCATGGACTCCTTTGGCAGTCTGATGAAACCCCTGGACTCCTTAAAATAATGTTTTTAAACGCATAAAGTAAAATACACAGGATTAAAAAGTAAATTAATTATATTGAAATGTAGTCATTAAAAATCCTAAACAAGTTTATGGACCCCATGGCATTAGGTTACTTCTTTGTCTACTCCTTAACATCCTTTATCCACAGATGCTTTTCCCAAAGTTTTCTAATCTTTAGTTCTGAACCTGTATTTCTAGATGATATATTCTCATGTGGGTCACCCCTAGATAATATACTCCCCCCCAAAGTCCAATGAAAACTCATACCTCTCCTTTCTCCTCACATAGTGATCCAATAATTTCCCCACCTAAAAGTAATGAGTCACTAGTCCCCCTTGCTTCCTTCCTTCCTAGATGTGGAACCTGATGACTACAAGTTGTTACAATTGCTACTTTAATACTCAGTTACCTGTGATTTTATTTGCCTGGGTATTCCCCTTATTTATGCAGGTTAAAACCCTCATCACCTTAGCAGACAGGCTTCATGTGTTATTGAGGCCAAAAATATTCATCATATTGTGACCAAATTTCTGATAATATGCCTTTCTAACCTTAGGTAGGCTGGCTGCCAGGTGACAAGCACAAGACACTGAATGAACAAATGAATAAATGAATGAAAACAGATATAGTAAGTGCTTATTATGTACCAGGTACCTAATACAAATACACACACAAAAACAAATATTTGTATTCACCTTGCCTTTACTTGAAGTCTTTCCAGCTTGGTGGTACCTGCCAAAACATTCATTCCGCTGTTAGATCCTTTAAAGCCCCAAGCCATCATGTACCTATCACAATGAGGCACTAGAGTAAAAAGTCCATGGAGATTTAAAATATATGCAATAACAAAAAAAAAATGACCCATGCAGTATTATTAACATATTTTCATACGTACTTATACCTAGACCATGGCTCAGTAATTGAACAGAGTCATTTCAACACAATTAGTGCCTCTCATATTCATAGAGATCTCTAGAGAAGGAGATTCAGAAAAAACGGTCAGAGTTAACAGAGAACAATCCTTGGAGTCAGAAAGACCTGAATTCAAATCCAGCCTCTAACACATGCAAGTTATGTGACCATTTAATCCTTCAGGGTCCTAAGCAAGTCTTTAGGACTATAAATTACAGAAAGTTCTGTTCTGCCTAAGTGGAGGGAATTTCTATGTTAGGAGTTTCCTAAACCAATAAAATCACAGATCTGAACGCTGTGCCATATACAAACCCCCCTTCCAAAAAAAACCAATCCAGCGTATTACCCTCATCTGTAAAGCAAATATGTTTTTACTTACACATAGCCTAGCAATGCCTTAGAGGAAAGCTTTCAGGAACTTGGAACCCAATCATCTGCTTTAACCCTGACTACTACTCTAAACAATACTGAAGTTTCTTTAACATCCTCCATTATACTGCATATGATTGTTTAAAAGTGTCTTGTCAGGTTCATGGCCCACATTAATTCTGAGGGCTCTAAGTTTAGACCTTGGCACAAGCTCACCAGGACTGAATCATGTTTGAATAAGGAAATGGCATCTTTCCAGGACCAAAGAGAGAGAAACAACATTTTTTAAAACGACTTATGAAATGCCTTGGATATAAACGCTCTTCATAGACAAGCTTTGGATGGATTATATGGAAATGAGATGGCAGTAGATAGAACAAACTTTCCCTTGTAATATAATTTTTCCTCATAGAGAAAAACATTTGACAAAAAAAAAAACTGGTACCTTGCCAAGATCCAATATTTTGAAAATTTATCCAAGTAGCCATTTTATTGAATCCCAATTTTTCTAGCACCTCTTGTTCAGATTTAGAGCTGCCTCAAAATGGGGCAAAACGATCCTGATAATTTTTTAATGGAAGCAAATATACACACGTAGAGGTCACTGTCATTTGTGATTAAAGTGGATGCTATTTAGAGTATTCAGACCATAGACCTGACCTGACTCAATCAAAATCTAAGGTCCACTAGCTACAGAGCACTGTAGTACCATGTACTTGTGAAGAAATAAGGAAAAGGAAGACCTCATTCTGGCCCTTTGGGAGTAGTTTCCTATTACCAACAGCAAGCAATAGAAAGAGTGGGGTTGTATGTGTGCTGGATAGAATGCTGAACTGGGAATCAGAAAGATCTGGATTCAAATCCTTCTTCTCACACTCACTAGTTTTGTGTGACCACAAGAAAATCACTTAATTTTTCCAAGGCTCAGTTTCCTCCTCTGAAATATGAGAGAAAAGGTTGGGCTTGATGACCAACCTCCTAGCTTAAAATTCATGATCATACGATCTGGCACATCAGTCTTCACCTGTTACAAGGGTAGCACAATTCCATCTGCCCTGCTTCTTTGGTGGCTTCTATTTTTCACTATTCTAGCTGGGTTCCCATTCTGAAAGTGAAACAAGAAAAACTAAACTGAGAGGAAGGTTATATGCTTAGGTAGCTGAGAAAAGAACAAGACAACCATAAGTCAACTGTAGGTTGGATTTAGTCCAATATGTATTTTTAAGAAAAGAAGGAAATGTTGCTTACTTATAACGAATACTAATCACAAGTGAACCTTCCCTGCTTTTCCTTTCGAATACTAATCAAAAGCAAACCTTCTCTGCTTTCCTTTTGAAAAAATTAGCTTTGACTTGATTTTCATAGTCCAGATTACACTAAGATTTTTGTTTTCATATATCCTTACTCTGAACTTGGAGTCAGGAAGACCTGGGTTCAAATTCACCAGAGATGTGACTATAGTAAAGTAACTTGCCTTCTTTGAGCATCCTTTTACTCATCCATAAAATTGATATAATGCTATTAGATTGTTGTTAGACTGAAATGAGATAATGTTCAATACACATGATGTCCTAAAAGTTTTAGTGTAGTGTTAAGCTTTAATAGCTTAGTATCTTAAGGCTAAGGGTACTGTATAAAGTGCTTCACAAATCTTAATGTACAGTACAGATGTCAAATATTCTTACTCATTGAAGTGGGTATTATTTAGTTTGCCAATATTTCAATGATGTCCTGAGACCAGCAGAAACTTCCAGAGAATACAAAATCCTAACTAGTCAGCCTGGGAAGACCTAAATGAAATAATACTGATTGAAATGAGCAAAAACTTGAGAACTTTGATCAATGAAATGATCAGCCATGATTCCTGAGGACTAACGAGGAAGAATGCTGCATGTCTTGTGAAAGAGAGACAATGGACTAAAATGCAGAATGAGAAATGTAATTTTCAATGTGGCCAACATGGTCATTTGTTTTGCTTGTTTATGGCTATATGCTACAAAGATGTTGTGCTGCCTTCTCCTTCTTTCTCTTTCTTTCAGCTATTTGGGGGGTGAGAAAATAAATAAATGCTTTAAATTTTAAAAATTATTTTTAAATATCACATCTATTCCAAATTCCCCAGTCACAGTAGTTTTCTTTTCATAATTTACTTTTAGGGGGAAAAAAGTATTCTAAACTTCCACTTCTCCCTGCCCCACTCTCCCTATACCCTACCTTGCAATCCACTCCTCCATCTTCCTGTTTAAATGACATTGGATCATAGTGTAAATCATAAGATTTGGAGCTAGAAAGGACCTTCAAGATGATCTAGTGGCTACCCCACTCCCCTCAATTTTACTTGTAAGAAAACTGTAACCCAGGGAGATTTTTTTCCCAGGATCACTCAGCTAATAAGTAAAAAAACAAAAACAAAAACAAAAAAAACCATAGAAACTGAACCCAGCACTTCTGACTCCAAATCCAAATTTCTTTCCATTGCTTTTCCCTCCATCCCCATCTGCTTGATTATTTATTTGGCCTAGAATGAGTTTAGCTACTCACTTAACAGTGTGAACAAAGTTTGTACTCAACTCTAACTTGTTTAAGAGGTGTGCGTGAGTGAGGGAGACGGAATCATTTTTAAAGTTCTAAATCCAGATTTAGACCAGACAAATTTACCAGGATTTTAATGTTTTGGTGGACGTACCTATTCATGGTCAGTAGATAGAAGTTGTGGTTGCAACTGCTGGCCATGATGCCATGATTCCCTCTGCATTGAAAATGTCTTCAAACCACAGGGAGGAGGATATTTTAACTTACTTCACCACAAACTATGTTTAGGACCGAGTAAGTGTCTTTAAATACTTCACAAATTCCTATTTTTAAAATTTATTTGTTCTCTGATGTTAAAGAGTGAGAGGGAAAACAAACCCTAATAGATCATTGGACTTATCAAGGAGGTAGAAAAGGTGCAGTTCCAAATTTAGCCCTACTTCTCCAGAAATGTAAACATCATGGAAACATACAGGCAGACTCAATATTTTTCCTAATGTTCACTGCTACAATAACTAAATGAACCATTTTTTAAAAAACTAATAGTCAAATACTGAAATGATCTGTAACTGATGAGAGCATTCCTTTCAATGATGAAAATTGTAACCCATTAATACCTGGATATCACTAACCCATGTTCTCCGATAAATAAAAATCACAGGGAGTGATGTGTTAAGGTCTTCCTCACTCAGTATACTAGAGGATACATCTTGCCATTTCAAGAATAAAAATACAGCAGATAGCCCATCCATCCCTTGTTCTTGTTACATGACCATCTCATCTTCACAACACATTTTAACTGGAAATAATCTCCCACATGCCCACATAGGTCACTAAGATTTTGTTTTTGTTTTTGATTCTGGTTGATTTCAGGTTTTTAAAACATATAAATAGTGCCTATTTCAGTTGGATTTTCTTCTTTTACTTTTTTTTGTAATCTTAAGACCATTTCTCACTCGATAGAGTTACTATTTCATACTTTAAAGAAATCAGTTCATCACTTTCATAGTATTTCTACAAACCACGAGTGTCATTCATAGTCATCTATGTATATTGTGATGGCTAGAGCTGATAAACTTGGGGGTAAGCATGCATCTGTCAAATGGGTGATCCTAGCTAAGCCTCAATTTGTAACTTCAAGAGAGATGTTAATTTCTGCCAACAAAATATGTTATAACACTAGGTGGGGCCATATACAGAACTAAATTCCACCCTAGGCAGATCGTGAAAATTTTCCTCCCTCTTGTGTTACAACTATCCATGAAAGAGTCTGAGCCTTCACTTTACCATGCATCATTGAACATCACAAAATAAAATATTGGGACATGATTGGAAATATAATCTTAAGTCCTTGATAACTGAGTAAGAAATGCTTTGTAACTCCCATATAGCACCCTTCATTGAATCCCAATGCCCCAAATTCCATTTCTAGAGAGGGTGTCCTCAAAAGAAACACCATTGGAGCTACTTGCTGGCTGGAGCTATAAAGGCCGTTTTGTTTCCAAGATCCTGTCTGGATCAATATGCTAATGAATCTGAGCAAGGAAAAAACAAAAACCTGTCCAAGAATGTCATTTTCTTCTGCCCTCCTAATTCACATTATTGCCTACATTCTGTATATATTTGTCAACAGCAAACAAACAAAAATCCCCTTTTGTTCTTTATTTGAGTTCTCTGGCTATCCATATGTACAACGAGAAAAAAAGTAATATTAAAAAGTGTGCTTTATTACAAACTTAACCCCATTGAGTGGTATACCCTAGGTGGCTACCTAGCTTACCAAATGCAAGTTCTGGCTCTAACTATAACACCTGTACAGCAAAGCTAACTGTAAAAGAAATATCAACACCTGGAAAGAAGGTGGAGAGGTTAATTATTGCAACATGAAATCATTGACAGAATCAAGGAATTTCGGAGTAAGAGGAAAACTTGGAGATCCACCTCACAATTACAGGATTGCTCAGGAGGTCAAAGTTTCTAAATGGGATTGCATTCTGAGTTTTCTTCAAAATCAGCCTTATAAAACCTCAGGATCATGATTTTGGATAAAGAGAGTTTTAACAGACTGGTCCCACAAAAACAATCACACATACACAGATCTCTTTGAAAGACAGAAGATATATTAATACACACCTGAAACCAAAATACAACTTGAGGAGCTCTGAAGAGTTTTTAGCTGAAAACAAATAGGTAAATCTGACAAAAATGGCATATGCAAGCAAGGAAGTTTACTAATATGAAATGCTAAAAATTTATCTATATATACACACACACAAATACACACACGTATTCAGCTATATAGTTAAATTTTTGCATATATACATTTACATACACACACATTCACCCCATTCATAACTTAATGTATTATATAAATGTCAGCTATTCATACAAAGAAGATGGTTTATAGTTCACTTCCCCAGAATCCTGAAGCTTAGACAATGTGCCCCAAAGTCCTAGAAGCCACAAAAATTGTGATACTCCATTGAAAGAGCACAAATCCTCAGCTGTCATTCATACATCACTTTTCAATGGGGGGGGGAAGAGTAATG